CGACCCCCCCCCCCCCCCCCCAGCCTGTCTCCAGAGCAGAGGTGCTCCAGCCCTTGGATCATCTCCATGGCCTCCTCTGGACCTGCTCCAGCAGCTCCATGTCCTTCTTGTGTTGGGGACCCCAGAGCTGAAGGCAGCACTGCAGGGGGGTCTCAGGAGAGCAGAGCAGAGGGGCAGAATCCCCTCCCTCGCCCTGCTGCCCACACTGTGTTACATTACACAGCTGTTTAACAGTGTTTTTTCCCTTTCTTCTTGTACTCCACCTCCTTTAACTTCCCGTTGTGCCTGTTGGATTGTGCCCAATACCTTGTTCTCTGTCTCATCAGACATGCCAACAGTTGGCCCTGGAGCCAAACCCCGTGCTAGCCCCTGGCGAGCTAACAGATGCCACAGCGTGGGAGGTCAAACTCTGAATCTTATTTTCCCCTTTGACACTTACGCACGCTCCCGTGTGAAAAAAAGATGCTGTTGATCTTGGCGGGCCGGGTGAGGACAACCCGTAGATGGAATTCTTAGAACTGTTACCGAGATTACGCTGCTTGCAATTATTAGAAGAATTACTGCAGCATAGAACAAGCAGCACTTGCACTTCATCCTTGATGGGTGGGCAGTGTTTAGTGCTCAGAAGCCATCTATGTGCCGTCCTTATGTCACACACTGCTTCGCGTTGTGTTGGTATTTGTCAGAGCACGGAGTGACAGGACACGGGGCGATGGCTTTAAACTGGAAGAGGGGAGATTTCGATGGGATCTAAGGAAGAAATTCTTCCCTCTGAGGGTGCTGAGGCACTGGCACAGGTTGCCCAGAGAAGCTGTGGCTGCCCCATCCCTGGCAGTGTTCAAGGCCAGGTTGGATGGGGCTTTGGGCAACCTGGTGTAGTGGAAGGTGTCCCTGCCCATGGCAGGGGGGTTGGAACTGGGTGATCTTTGAGGTCCCTTCCAACCCAAACCATTCTGTGATTCTGTGATACCAGCAACTGATGTGAAACAAATTACACTTTCAGACCCCAAACAGAATCCCAGAATCCATGTATTGCAAACTGCCTCTGACCGGTCGATACCTTCACGCGCTCCAGCAGACCGCTCCGTTACTCAACCAACAAGAAATTTCAACCTTTTTGAGCTCCTACAGTTGCTGCATCCAAATCAGACTGGAGGTGGTTTGATACAAACATGTTCTGTGGCTCTGCGTTTCTGAGGATAGATAAAAAAGGGCTTTTGGTGTGTTTTTTTGCTATCAAATCTCTTTTTCTGTAGGATACACAACAGAACAAGATACATGTTTGCATTAGGTTTGTTTCATGTGTATGATCAAGTTATCTTATCGCTTCCTTACCTGCCTTTCTTCTTATATCTCCTCAGTATAATTGTGTCCCACGTATTTATTCTTCACTTTCGCTGCCTTTCGGTGCCAAACTCCGTACAAAGATGAGTTCATGAAACAAATTACCAACTTTTCCGTGTCATTAATGCTCTTTTCCCTCCGCGTGCCTCCTTTGCAGATGATTCTGCTCAAGGAGTGCAAGCAGCCCACACAGTGAAAATTAAAATGTATTTTTCCTCCTCGTGTTAGAAAACCAGGACCAGATGTTTTATGGACGAGGCTTTCTAGACATGATGCACTAATTTCCATGATGTTTCGTACGGCTGTCAGCTGGATGTCAGCTTTGGCTGCTGGGACATAGACCAGGCTCTGAAAAGGCAGTTAGAAACTGGGGGGGGAAGCCTTAAATTTGCCTTAATTTATAGTTAATTGGTAACATATCAAAGAATTGGCGAGGTAGGACAGTGATTATTATTTTTTTTGTTACTGCAACACCCGTGAACGCGGTGGATGCAAACTGCACGTGAATGAAAATGAGTGGGAGGAAGAAAATCAGATGAATGACAAGGATTCATTCTACAAGTTGTAATTTAAAAATTGATCTGAGTCAAAAAATCATGAAGCTTTGTGCTTTTCTACACCAGGTCTAGAAGAGCAAAGAGAGACAGAGACAGCTGGTTTGGGGACTCTGCACGGTGCCTTTTTGGGCTCGACCTAATTTTTTGGTGATTTATCAGCCGTTCAGTTTTCGTGAGGAATACCAAATTCAGTCCCAAATTAAAAGGAATCAATAAAGGGAAGATGGCAACTGCATCACAGTGTTGCCTTTGATTCAAAGGACTTGCCTATTTTCACATGAGATAAAGTGTTTATTCAAAATTTAGTCCAGGCACAAGGCCAAAGCACAGCTCGTGTCAGTGCTGCCCAAAGGACATTTATAGAAACTTGTATTTTTCCAGTGTATTGACTTCAGTTTTTATTTAAACTTTTATAGGTAGTTTTTAATCATTGTTCTTCCTCTAAGGATTTATTTTTGGTTTTTTATAAACTGCAGCAAATCTATTGTGCAGAATCCACCAGCTGGAAGGTTGATATTTTTTAAAAATTGTTTTTCAAGTTTAAGTATTTCCACTGCAGTTTCATTTTATAACTCGTGGTCACAGGTACATTAATCTTTTAATAGCATAAATTCTCAGTAAGTGACTCTTTTTTCCATTAAACTGTTTCCTGTGCCCCTGAAATAGCATCTCCAAAGTACATTAGTCACTCTTTCACAGCTTCTCTAAAAACAGCCAACTGTCCAGCAGTGGAGTTGGAGCTTCCAAAATCTTCTGCAGTTGTTTTTAAAGTCCACGGGCCTGTGCTTGAAGGGAGAAATACAACTGAGTTGTATTATTACAGCAGAGATGTGATTTGGTGACAGCTCTTCCTCTTTCTCTTCCCTGTATTTGCTTTGTTTGGTGACTGCCCTCCTGCTGTTATTTGGGAATTGTATGTTGGATATTATTTAGTCATTGAGTTTTTTGTCCAGTTTCAATAACAGTAAGTGGTAAAAAACCACATTGAAGAGTATTGATCAATTCATTTTTCTTGTTATTTCTTCACTTACTTTTACCTGATGGTATAATGCTAAATTTAACTTGTTTTAACAGATTAATGCTGATGCAGAAAAGGAAGAAGGTGAAGAGTTTGAAGACAGCATGGATGTTTTCGATGACAGTAGTTCTAGTCCTTCTGGTACTCTAAGAAATTATCCTCTCACCTGCAAAGTTGTTTATTCCTATAAGGTTTGTAATTTTTTTTTTATTTTGATTAGAAAAATGAATTATGCAACAAACATATAGATATAACTGTTCTGTGGGAGTTTGAGGTGGAATGTCAGCATTTGGCTCAATAATGGTGCACATTAAATACATCTAGTTGAGAGAAACTGCAGCCATATAATACCCATCCCATGTGAAACACATTTATAGAATCATGGAATAGTTTGGATTGGAAGGGACCTCAAAGATCATCCAGTTCCAACCCCCCTGCCATGGGCAGGGACACCTTCCACTACACCAGGTTGCCCAAAGCCTCATCCAACCTGGCCAATTTAGGCTACAGTTCAGCAGAGTGAAATCCACGCATGAATTGGAGCATGGAGAGATGTCCCTGTCTGGCTTCAAGGAGACCATTTGTGTGCCTGCCATTAGGAGATGTTCCAGTTTCCGTGGCTGAGTCGGTGTGGCTATACTGGAAATGCCTTCTCAGTGTAAGGGCGTGCTGGCGTGCTGCACGACCAAGCTTTTCTTTCTGCTGCAATAGTGAAACCCCTGTTCATGAGTTAAAGCTCTGCTGACAACCTGCATTCGTGTTCTTTACTCCTGCTGGCACTGCTGGGTCACTGGTAAATCCCACCGCTGCGGCAGCCGAAGCCGGGTCCAGCCGTAGTCTTGGAGTATTGGAGTAATGAGGGTTTCAAAAGTAAATAGGGTTCGACCTGCTGGCTGGCATTCAAGGGGCTTCCATCTGTCCTCTTGGGTGAAAAAGGGTCTTGTGAATGTCAAGAAGTGTACAGAATTACCCTTATTAATATATTTTAAATCATGCTACATCATAAAGTTTTCGATTTTTTAAAAAACATACGTTTTAATAAAAGTCTGGATGAGAATATTCTTTACACTGCCTGTCCCGTGCACCTGAAAACACTTTTTCTTTTCTAATCTTCCTGTTAAACACGTCAGGCTTCTCAGCCAGATGAATTGACCATAGAGGAACACGAGGTATTGGAGGTTATTGAAGATGGAGATATGGAAGACTGGGTAAAGGTACCAATTTTTTCTTTTCTCTATTAATTTTAGAAATAGAATCATAGAATCATAGAATCACAGAATGGGTTGGGTTGGAAGGGACCTCAAAGATCATCCAGTTCCAACCCCCCTGCCATGGGCAGGGACACCCTCCACTACACCAGGTTGCTCAAAGCCTCATCCAACCTGGCCTTGAACACTTCCAGGGATGGGGCAGCCACAGCTTCTCTGGGCAACCTGTGCCAGTGCCTCACCACCTTCAATGTAAAGAATTTCTTTCTTACATCTAACCTAAATCTCCCCTCTTTCCATTTAAATCCATTGCCCCTTGTCCTATCACTACACACCCTTGTAAAAAGGAGACTTGGGACTTGGGATGGGAGAAAGTATTTGGATTCTTTTCAGACCAGCATGCAAAAAACAGAGCATCTTTTCTGTCATTTGCTTCCAGGCACGGAATAAAGCGGGACAAGTGGGTTATGTGCCGGAGAAGTACCTGCAGTTCCCGACATCCAGCAGTCTGCTGAGTATGCTGCAGTCCCTCGCGGCGCTGGATAGTCGATCACACACCTCAAATAACTCCACCGAGGCTGATTTAGTCTCAGGCAGCCTGAATGGAGACTCCAGTGGTAAATACCAATTAAAAATAAAATTAAAAAAAATAATTAAGCTTGTTCTCGAAAGCATTCTGCGTTATCGACTTGGGATGTTGTCCATGAGAGTTTCTCATATTTGACCTCTCTCTGAGTACACCTGTTCTCAGTAATTATCTGTCTTGTATCAAATCTGTGTAATTTACCTGGCTATCTCATAGAATTGAGATTAACATTAACTAAAATTAAGGAAATCTAAAATAATTTGACTCAGCAATTATTGAATCATAGAATGATTTAGATTGGAAAAGGCCTTTAAGATCATCGAGTCCAACTGTAAAAGTAGATATAGGACTTTCTTTTTTTTTTTAAGCTCATGCCAATTGCCCCTTTTTTCCTTCCTCTTCCATTCTTCAGTCTGTTTTGTAAAAGCACTTTATGATTACGAGGGCCAGACAGACGATGAGCTGTCCTTCCCGGAAGGAGCGATCATCCGCATCTTGAACAAGGAAAATCAGGATGACGACGGCTTTTGGGAAGGAGAATTCAACGGACGCGTTGGGGTGTTCCCATCAGTATTAGTTGAAGAGCTCACGGCCTCCGAAAATGGAGAGACTCAGTGGATTGGAGATGTTCAGGTGTGTGAAGAGTTGAGGTGCCCGCTTGCTCGTTCGGGTGGTTTTGCAAGGCTGCAAAGATCTGCTGCTTCATTAGGAAAAAAGAAAACAAAAAAAATCAGAACCAATTCAAGAAAATAAAACCCCTGAGTTCTGACCTTTTACTTCCTTCCCCAACCTAATAATTATCTACTGATGAGTTTTGGCAAATGTAACAGATCGGTGAATAAAGGCAGGTATTTGGGCAGAAAGGAAATGAACCAAAAGAGAAAATTCCTCTAATTAATTCATGGCATAGGCTGAGACATCAAACAGAACCTGGCAAAAAGAGAATCACAGGCTCTCTCAGCCCTAATTTAATGTTTTCATACTTAAATCTGTTCTGCATCCTCTCAATTTTTGAATACTGCCGAATATTGTATTACAGTAATTTTTGCTAAAATGTCCTCGTTTCAGTATAGTTCTGTAATCCTTCTGTCATATCAGAAAGTCAGACACATTCTCATGTGTAATTATGGGGCTAGAAACTGGACTCCCATGTTCCCTACAAAGTAATTTCTCCAATATTTAATCTCTGATTTGGGAAGACGATGACAATGTAACGTTGAAATGATGTACGTGCCGTTGAGTTGGGATGAAACTCGGGATCTTAACGCTTTTGTGGGAGTGCACGTGGGGAGACACGCTTGGCCAAATGACTTTTTTCAAATAACCTTCAAAAAGTCTGTCTAAATTACCTGGGAGAGGATGAAAATTTCTGCTGGGTGGCAACTTATGATTTAAAAAAAAATACAATCACTGCTGGATATCGTGGCTTTCCTTCCCAAACGTACCTGACGGCACCTTTGACAGTTTTTCTCCAGATGCAAGTTCCTGGCATATTGATGTGTCGGAGAACTTACTACATAAAAACTGTTGGGGAGTAAGGCTTTCTGCAGCCCCTCTCTCTTTTTAACGCAGGTATCCCCCACTCCGAAGCCTAACAATGCCCTTCCACCGCTGCCGCTCTATGACCAGCCTCCCAGCAGTCCCTTCCACAGTCCGGATAAAAGAGGTTCTCAGTACTTCCCCAGATCACCGTCAGCCAACGGTAAGAAATTCTGTGATAGTAACAGAAATATTTCAGCTAAATCACACAGAATCCCAAAATGTCAGGGATTGGAAGGGACCTCAAAGGATCATCTAGTCCAATCCCCCTGCTGGAGCAGGACCACCTAGATCAGATCC